TCGAAAATCTACTTCCCCGAGAAGTCGATAATCTACTTTCCCGAAAAGTAGAAAATCTATCTACTTTTCGGGAAAGTAGATAACCAACTTTCCCGGAAAGTAGATATTTCCCATTTTTATTATACAATCTCCTGTTTCTATGATCATCTACTTCGCAAAATTAGGCAATATTTCTGGGGGCTCCGAAAATCTACTTCCCGAAAAGTCGATAATCTATTTTCCCGAAAGTAGTTTATCTGAGGCTGAAAGTAGATAACCAATTTTCCGGAAAGTAGATATTTCCATTTGCGATACAAATTTCCCGTTTTCTATGATAATCTACTTCGCAAAATTAGGTAATATTTCCCCCAAAATTCGAAAATCTACTTCCCGAAAAGTCGATAATCTACTTTCCCGAAAAGTAGAAAATCTGTCTACTTTTCAGGAAAGTAGATAACCAACTTTCCCGGAAAGAAGATATTTCCCGTTTTTTATGATACAAATTTCCCGTTTTCTATGATAATCTACTTCTCTAAATTAGGTAATATTTCCCCCAAAATTCGAAAATCTACTTCCTGAAAAGTCGATAATCTTCTTTCCCGAAAAGTAGTGTCTATCTATTTTCGAAAGAGATAACCAACTCTTCCCGAAAGTAGATATTTCCCATTTTTATGATATAAATTTCCCGTTTTCTATGATAATCTACTTCGCAAAATTAGGTAATATTTCCAAAAATTCGAAAAATCTTACTTCCCCGAAAAGTCGATAATCTACTTTCCCGAAAAAGTAGTGTCTATTTGGCCATGAAAGTAGATAACCAACTTTCCCGGAAAGTAGATATTTCCCATTTTTTGTCATACAAATTTCCCGTTTTCTATGATAATCTACTTCGCAAAATTAGGTAATATTTCACCCAAAATTCGAAAATCTATTCCCCCGAAAAATCGATAATCTACTTTCCCGAAAAGTAGAAAATCTATCTACTTTTCGGGAAAGTAGATAACCAACTTTCCCGGCAAGTAGATATTTCCCATTTTTTATGATACAAATTTCCCGTTTCTATGATAATCTACTTGGCAAAATTTGGTAATATTTCCAAAATTCGAAAACGATTTCTCGAAAAGTCGATAATCTACTTTCCGGTGCAGAAAAATCTATCTACTTTTCGAGAAAGTAGATAACCAACTTTCCCGGAAAGTAGATATTTCCCATTTTTTATGATACAAATTTCCCGTTTTCTATGATAATCTACTTCGCTAAATTAGGTAATATTTCCCCCCAAATTCGAAAATCTACTTCCCCGAAAAGTCGATAATCTACTTTCCCGAGAAGTGTAAAATCTGTCTACTTTTCGGGAAAGTAGATAACCAACTTTCCCGGAAAGTAGATATTTCCCATTTTTTATGATACAAATTTCCCGTTTTCTATGATAATCTACTTGGCAAAATTAGGTAATATTTCCCCCAAAATTCGAAAATCTACTTCCCCGAAAAGTCGATAATCTACTTTCCCGAAAAGTAGAAAATCTATCTACTTTTCGTGAAAGTAGATAACCAACTTTCCCGGAAAGTAGATATTTCCCATTTTTTATGATACAAATTTCCCGTTTTCTATGATAATCTACTTCGCAAAATTAGGTAATATTTCTCCCAAAATTCGAAATCTACTTCCCCGAAAAGTCGATAATCTACTTTCCCGAAAAGTAGAAAATCTATCTACTTTTCGGGAAAGTATATAACCAACTTTCCCGGAAAGCAGATATTTCCCATTTTTTATGATACAAATTTCCCGTTTTTGATAATTCACTGGGCAAAATTAGTAATATTTCCCCAAATTAGAAAAATTCATTTCCCCGAAAAAGTCGATAATCTACTTTCCGAAAAGGTAGGGAATTTGTTTGAAGCTGAAAGTAGATAACCAACTTTCCCGGAAAGTAGATATTTCCCGTTTTTTATGACACAAATTTCCCGTTTTCTATGATAATCTACTTCGCAAAATTAGGTAATATTTCCCCCAAAATTCGAAAATCTAATTCCCCGAAAAGTCGATAATCTACTTTCCCGAAAAGTAGAAAATCTATTCACTTTTTCGGAAAGTAGATAACCAACTTCCCGGAAAGTAGATATTTCCCATTTTTTATGATACAAATTTCTGCTTCTATGATAATCTACTTCTCAAAGTTAGGTAATATTTCACAAAAAGTCGATAATCTACTTCCCCAAAAAGTCGATAATCTACTTTACCGAAAAGTAGAAAAATCTACTTGTCGGGAAAGTAGATAACCAACTTCCCGGAAAGTAGATATTTCCCATTTTCTATGATAAAAATTTCCCGTTTTCTATGATAATCTACTTCTCAAAATTAGGTAATATTTCACAAAAAGTCGATAATCTACTTCCCCAAAAAGTCGATAATCTACTTTACCGAAAAGTAGAAAAATCTACTTTTCGGGAAAGTAGATAAATCAATCCTTCCCGGAAAGTAGATATTCCCATTTTATATACAAATTTCCCGTTTCTATGATAACTACTTACCAGGTAACATTTCCGGGGGCCCGAAAATCTACTTCCCCGAAAAGTCGATAATTCATTTTGAAAAAGTAGAAAATCTATCTACTTTCGGTGCAGATTACCAACTTTCCCGGAAAGTAGATAGTTCCCATTTTTTATGATACAAATTTCCTGTTTTCTATGATAATCTACTTCGCAAAATTAGGTAATATTTCCCCCAAAATTCGAAAAATCTACTTCCCCGAAAAGTCGATAATCTACTTTCCCGAAAAGTAGAAAATCTATCTACTTTTCGGGAAAGTAGATAACCAACTTTCCCGGAAAGTAGATATTTCCCATTTTTTATGATACAAATTTCCCGTTTTCTATGATAATCTACTTCGCAAAATTAGGTAATATTTCCCCCAAAATTCGAAAATCTACTTCCCCGAAAAATCGATAATCTACTTTCCCGAAAAGTAGAAAATCTATCTACTTTCCGGGAAAGTAGATAACCAACTTTCCCGGAAAGTAGATATTTCCCATTTTTTATGATACAAATTTCCCGATTTCTATGATAATCTACTTCGCAAAATTAGGTAATATTTCCCCCAAAATTCGAAAATCTACTTCCCCGAAAAGTCGATAATCTACTTTCCCGAAAAGTAGATAGATTTTCTACTTTTCGGGAAAGTAGATAACCAACTTTCCCGGAAAGTAGATATTTTCTATTTTTAATGATACAAATTTCCCGTTTTCCATGATAATCTACTTCGCAAAATTAGGTAATATTTCCACCAAAATTCGAAAATCTACTTCCCCGAAAAGTCGATAATCTACTTTCCCGAAAAGTAGAAAATATATCTACTCTTCGGGAAAGTAGATAACCAACTTTCCCGGAAAGTAGATATTTCCCATTTTTTATGATACAAATTTCCCGTTTTCTATGATAATGTACTACGCAAAATTAAGTAATATTTCTTCCAAAATTCGAAAATCTACTCCCCCGAAAAGTCGATAATCTACTTTCCCGAAAAGTAGAAAATCTATCTACTTTTCGGGAAAGTAGATAACCAACTTTCCCGGAGAGTAGATATTTCCCAATTTTTATGATACAAATTTCCCGTTTTCTATGATAATCTACTTCGCAAAATTAGGTAATATTTCCCCCAAAATTCGAAAATCTACTTCCCCGAAAAGTCGATAATCTACTTTCCCGAAAAGTAGAAAATCTATCTACTTTTCGGGAAAGTAGATAACCAACTTTCCCGGAAAGTAGATATTTCCCATTTTTTATGATACAAATTTCCCGTTTTCTATGATAATCTACTTGGCAAAATTAGGTAATATTTCCCCAAAATTCGAAAATCTACTTCCCCGAAAAGTCGATAATCTACTTTCCCGAAAAGTAGAAAATCTATCTACTTTTCGGGAAAGTAGATAACCAACTTTCCCGGAAAGTAGATATTTCCCATTTTTTATGATACAAATTTCCCGTTTTCTATGATAATCTACTTGGCAAAATTAGGTAATATTTCCCCCAAAATTCGAAAATGTACTTCCCGAAAAGTCGATAATCTACTTTCCCGAAAAGTAGAAAATCTATCTACTTTTCGGGAAAGTAGATAACCAACTTTCACGGAAAGTAGATATTTCCCATTTTTTATGATACAAATTTCCCGTTTTCTATGATAATCTACTTGGCAAAATTAGGTAATATTTCCCCCAAAATTCGAAAATCTAGTTGCCCGAAAAGTCGATAATCTACTTTCCCGAAAAGTAGAAAATCTATCTACTTTTCGGGAAAGTAGATAACCAACTTTCCCGGAAAGTAGATATTTCCCATTTTTTATGATACAAATTTCCCGTTTTCTATGATAATCTACTTGGCAAAATTAGGTAATATTTCCCCCAAAATTCGAAAATCTACTTCCCCGAAAAGTCGATAATCTAGTTTCCCGAAAAGTAGAAAATATATCTACTTTTCGGGAAAGTAGATAACCAACTTTCCCGGAAAGTAGATATTTCCCATTTTTTATGATACAAATTTCCCGTTTTTTATGATAATCTACTTGGCAAAATTAGGTAATATTTCCCCCAAAATTCGAAAATCTACTTCCCCAATAATTTTTTAAGTTAAGAAATCAGAGAGGGTTGGACTAGAATGGGTAGACAAGTGTAGCACAAATAATATGTAGGTTTTGGGGAAGTGGAAACTTATACCAGGGCAGACAGTTGATGGAAACAAAACAAGATTGGAGGATAGTCAGTAATTAACTAGGGATTATGATTATTTTCTAGGGAACTCTAGGAAGCCTGTTTCTCTCAAAAACATATGGATAAGATAAATAAAATTGAAAATGAATAATAGATGCTGATGTAGTTCCCTCATATTACACTAAGGTTGGAGGAGGTCAAGAGTTTTAGCTGGGTGACCAAGGATGATTTTTAGGCTGGACTGTAATAAGGTTTCTTTCATTATTCCTGACTGATGTCATTAGGCTGGAATTGTGTCAAAGACAGTGTTTTAAATTACTTTCCTTACTTGTTTATTATCAATAAATACAGAATACTTGGTATGTTACAATATATTTGTAATACGTATATGTACAAAAATGTATCACTTCATCAATATGTTTCACTTTACAGTACAGTACTCATACATAATCGAAAAAATCAAAAGTACCTACAAATTAATCTTATATAAATCCAAAATTCTTTATAGCAGATGTAGGAACAATGTGTTAAGTTCCTCACCTCAAACTATGTCAATAAAAGCCATTAAATTTTGAGCCAAAAAAATAACTATGATAATTAAATAATTTATACAAAATTAAGATGCAAAATAAAGGATGAGCTTTATTCGCATACACAGATATACTGTAATATGAAATTTCACTACTTTCTTTTTCTGAACAAGGAAACTAATTTGCCACTGCCTCTTTGGAAGCAGCGAAATTAGCCATTCTTTCCTCAAGGACAGGCCGGAAGTGTCGAATTAGTCCCTGAACTGGCCAAGCAGCACCATCACCCAGAGCACATATTGTGTGACCTTCTATCTGCTTGGAAACTTCCCATAGGGCATCAATTTCTTCTGGTCGAGCATCACCTTTCACTGTTGATAAAAAGAATTATAAATTTAAGACTGATTCTGAAATCCCATCTTATGGTTGAAAACAGTCTTAAAATTACTTGTCTGGACCCAGAAGACCTATAATTAGTAGCTGGGGTTACTCTTGTCAAACAGTTCATATAAAGCAGTATTAGTTACAAGATTAGCGAGGTTATCCTTAAACTATATCTTGCGCTTGTGAGACCTCACTTGGATTACGCAGTTCAGTTCTGGTCACCGTACTACAGAATGGATATAGAATCCCTAGAAAGAATTCAGAGGAGAATGACAAGACTAATCCCAGGAATTAGGAACCTTGAGTAGAGACAGGTGAAAGCATTTTAATTTCCACTCCCTCAAAAGACATAGAGTGAGGGACGATTTGATCGAGGTGTATAAATGGAAGTCAGGGTTAAACAAAGGAAATGTAACAAAGGTACTCAAACTATCCAACCAGGAGCGAACTCGTACCAATGGTTTTAAATTAGACAAATTTAGATTTAGGCGCGAGATAGGTAAACATTGGTTTGGAAATAGAGTAGTGGATGAGTGAAACAAGTTACCAAACACCATCATTAACTCGAATACCATGGATAGCTTCAAACATAGGTTGGATGGATATATGAGCAATAGGGGCTGGGTGTAAATGGGACTGCCCAGTAATGACCAATACCAGTAGACCCGCTGCAGTTTCCTCCATTCTTATGTTCTTATGTATGTATACAGTACCACCCTGTGGTAACCGTCACTCTTGGAAAGAGGTATTGATGCAATTGTTCACATTCAAAGTAGGAGGCAGAACGAACAAGTGATGTCACACTGTGTTGAATTCACATAGTACCAACAAAGTTAGGCAACATTAGGTCTGGTTAGTACTTGGATGGGTGATCGCCTGGGAATGCCAGATGCTGTTGGCATATAAACTAAAGGACCCTGTTGGAAATAAGCATCTCATGACTTTGTCAGCTATCCTTGGTCAAATTACCTGAATATTGTTATCAATTATTATTACTATTAAGACAGAAAAACACATATATCAGGTTTTGAACAAAAAAGTGCATTGGATTTTTACTTAATGTGACATAGTGCACTGAAAGACATCAGTGGGATTACCATAGCCTATGATGTTTTCCACTTATGCCTCATTTAATTTGTAGCTGGTTTCATTATTTCACAAATATCATTTTCACTAAAACTACTTTCAGTTATGTATTCTGAATCAAACTGATCTGAAAGCAGTTCGTTTTCATTCTCTCTCAAATCAATAGACAGAAGAATGTCACTATGGGGAATCAACCATACTTATTCAATATCTAAGTTACTTTCATCAGTCAAAATAACTTACCAAATCTACTCATTATCTTGAACATCCAAGATACTCCCTCGCGGCATGGTGTGCACTGACCGCAGGATTCATGCTTGTAAAACTCAATAAGGCGTGCAATAGCTTTCACAATATCTGTCTGCTTATTCATTACAATAACAGCAGCAGTACCAAGTGAAGTTTGGCAAGCCACCAACCCATCAAAGTCCATAAGAGCTTCTTCACATACACTGAAAAGAAAAGTAATACAACTTAGATTAGACATGAGCTTTTTAAGTTACAAAGCCATGGAAGAGATATTTGAGATACAGAAGCCAAGTTAAACTTTTTATTCATGTCTATGAATGCACTTGTAATATTGAAAATGAGTCATTCTGTGCCAACTCTCACTAAAAACAGAATTTTCAGAGGTAACCACCTCCAATTTGTTTGAAATTTTACCGTACCTAACCATGGAAAGTTATGGCAGAATGAAATTAACGGGTGTGGCCCATTTTTTGCACTTGTGACTCCAGTGAGTGACCTAGGAATACTTTTAGTACTACAGTCAGCATCTGCTTAATGTACAGTACAGTACATCTGATGTGCACACTGCAAGAAAAGTATCTTAACAGCTGGGTATAATGGACTTCAGAGAGAGCACAGTGGCTCTTGTTGTATCAGAAGGGTTGATATGCCTGACTATGAACTGCACTTCTTAATAATGTTTGTAGCTCCTGTTAATGCTATCTTTGGAAAGAAATAACAAAGATTTTTTTTTTAACAGTGATTAGCCCACCCGGGCACAGGTCACTGACCCACATCAGGGCCAGGGGGGGGGGAATGTAATAATAATAATAATAATAATAATAATAATAATAATAATAATAATAATAATAATAATAATAATAATAATAATAATAATAATAATAATAATAATAATAATAATAATA